GGTGCCACGTTCGCGCCACGTCGGTAGTTACTCCCGTGATGTGGTACCGAGTCAACTGGACCGTCCTAGCTTTGGCTAAGTCAAGTTACCCCTTTAAGTGACGCCGACTCACACTGACATACACTGACATACATACTGATATACACTCAGTGACTCAAACTAACACATAATGTCTAACGTTCTGTTCACAGAGAAAGATCAATATAAACTCAGTATGGAATAATTGACATTATAGATTTATGGATAACAATAATAATTTCATTTCTGAATATTAAAAAACCAGAACAGCAATGCTAAAATATAATAACCTTGGGATTTTTAATGTCACTGAAGATCTAAGATATGACTGAAAAAGATGACCCCTGCTGCTGGTAATTATATCACTTTATCTGTTGATGCTTAACCATAAGATTGTATTATAGACACAGACAATTTTAACTACAAACCACATAAGAAAAAAGAGCTCTTCTCTGGTCCAATGCTTTTGGCTAAAGTATTCTTTCTTATTGTATCAGCCATCTCACATTTACTCAATAAAATGTATGAAAAAAGTCCCACCTACAACACAAAAAACGACATATCACTAAGTTATTAATATCGCATAACAAAACAGAGGACTACAATGACTAGAATAGCTACATCTTTATATTGATTTTGGATAACATAGTAATTTCTAGAGTTAGGAAAATTTTTATATATAGACTTTTGAGTTTATGTAGGGCTGAACTGAGGATTAGGAAGCATAAAGTGAAAAGAATCTTATTAACTGGTGAGTTACAGTTAGGGTAAAACGCCAAAAAATAGTAGCTGTTATATTTATATCAATATTTTTTATTGACCAACAGTTTGGAATATCTGTAATAACACTGCTGTTTGTTCAAGATTTAGTTTAGATTATGATACTAATAATTTGAAGATAACAGAAATGCCATTGATTTATTCAAACTATGAAGGAAGATTTTTTGGAAGACAGAAACGATTGAAATGTACAAATAGGGAAAATTTTCAACACCTGAAATGTTTAAAAGGTCTCTTTCTTGGGTAAATATTTTTGTATTTTTATTTTTTAGATTAAAAGAATATATGTAAAGCTTCTGAACAAGGAAAATCTGTTGGGAAATGCAGTAAAATACTCTTGGTTTGAAAGGAAAATACTAGTCTTGTTCACTTTCTGTGTTCGATAAGTGGTAGTCATCTTTGTTTTTTTTATTACAATTATTACTTTTTTTACCTTTGACTGAAGGCTAATTGATTTTTGCATCTCTATTTCATCAAAGACTTTTATATTTTGAAGGTACTGATTACAAAAAAGTAAGTTGTTCATTAAATCTTTTTTAGGCCATTGTGTCACGTTCGCCTTCAAATAACTTCTTTGCAAATTATGAATTTTTTGTAGGTGATGGCTGAATATAGAATATTTGGAAGAAAATATTACTTATTTAGAGAGGACAATGATACAACAAACTAAAATCAACTTTATCCTGTATTGTTCAAATATGCCTTGTAATGTGGCCATTGCAATCTATTAGATTCTATTTCATATGAGTTTAGCAATATTAAAGCTTCCATTGAATATTCTGCAAATGACAAATATTTCCATTGTCTTTTGTCACCTTCTGAAATCCAGTAAGAGTATATTCTAAAAACTGCAGTTAAAGAAATAATTTATATATTTCAATACATATAACTTGACAGGCTGTTTAGAAGTTGAGACCAGGTTGGCTTAGGCACTACTAAAACAATGAACCATTTGTCATCGACTAATCTACCCCAGATGGATAAAGTAGTCAATATCTTAATATAATCTGTAGAAAAGTATGGGAAGATTTGAAAATGAAAAGATGATGAGTTGGCAATGCACAGTAGTCAGATGGGAGAATTAGCTATAATTAAACAATGGGACCGGTCGAAAACGGCCATAAATGAAATATTTGAAAGTTAGATTTCAGCCTGGGAAATGGTTAGGAGGAATAAGATAACTGTTGATATGTTCTTAGGAGGGTCCCATCTAAGGGTCAGGGGTATTCAAAAAGGTTAGGCAAAAACAAGGGCTGGGTTAGGGTTAGGGTTAGGGTAAAACCATACATTTATGGCCGTTTTCTACCACATCCTTAAACAATGTTCATCAATAGACTCAACAGAAGTGGTTTGTGACATAAGAGTGATAAAAAAGGATAACAAATGTTCTCAATTGTTACTTGTCACCATGAACAACCTGCTTTTCCAAGTGGAACCATTTACTCATGTTTTACAGCAAGTCAATCTGGAAGAAATTACCTATAATGAGTGTAAGTCAAACAAGTTGTCCTACAAGACAACTCACAACCCATTAAATCCTTTAAGAAACCAACCAATGAAAGACAAAACTCTGCTATTGAACTCTCATATTACTACTTGCTTAAATATTATTATTTCGAATAAACCATTTTAATTTAAACATTTGTTTAAAGTTTTGAGTAAAACCAGTATTGTTATAACTTGAAAATGTATAAATTTGCCAAGCAATAGCAGTACACTATACCTCCATTTTTCTTCATTTTCTATATAATTTTTACCAGAATTATAGATGTCAGCACTGCGTATTCCTAAAAAATACACTGAAGATAGAAAATCACTAAATGCTACATTAAAACGATATAATCTGTGCACTTAAAAATATCAACATAATAATATTTAGACTTTAGATATTATAGAACTATAGAATGACTTTTATTTCGTAGCAATTATAATTGTGGAGCTTTTGAAAGATGTTTATTAGATTCTAGAACTTTAAAAAGGCCTTTGTTTCGTAGGAAACATATTCTATGACCAAAACAGATGTTGCATTATGCAATTAACAATGGAACAAACAATATAGAAAAAATGCATGTCAAACATGTTTCATCTTATTCAAAAACAGATGCGGAAGAGGCAGGCTTGTTTTTGCACTGCCACATGTTAGCCATAAGTGATGCAATAGTTTTTCATATCTTTGTTATATGTGCATTGTGAGACTGTTACATTTCAACTTTGTAATCTTTTGACCAAGTGAACCCAAGCTTTGGTAAATGTATAAAAGGAAATACATTTCCCCAGTTTGTCAGTTCAATTCTGTAACTGTCAGCTGGTTGTTTAAACTTGCTTATTTAGAACTAGAAACTCATTGACTCAATACATATTCTTTAAATGAAGTACTGGCATTCTGCTGATTAATTTCTACCAAAATTTCATTTTTTAAGACTACTTGTGGACGAATTTGAAAGGTTCTATGTGGTGTGAGTACTTTGGTGAGTTGATAAATGATTGAAAAGGACGAATACTGTTCAGAAGAAACAGAAATACCTACAATTACAATACAACAAAGTACATAATCTAAATGTTTGTTTATCTTTTAATACAATGTGAGAAAGTGCAGCTATGTTGCCAAAATACCAAAATTTTTTTTAATTGTTTTTTAAATAAAAAATCTAGAGTGAAATTTTCAAACCTCAATATTTTAATCATCTCCAGAGACAATCATTTAAACTATCAAAAACGTTTTAAGCTGAATACAATATCCTTCACTATCACATTTATATTGATCAGGTGAGCATTGAGTACTTAAACAGGAAAGACTTGTTCTCTCTACAGAAAAACTAGGATTTGCATAAATATTTCTATTTCTATCTATTTGAAGTGTGCATGACTCATTAGAAATTCTAATGGCAGAACATAAAGGATTTTGTGAGCAAGAAGTCTCATCACTACCATTAACACAGTTTGGTATTCCATTACATTCAAGAGATCTTGAAATGCAACTATCTAGGCACAAATTTGTTTTTGAAATGTACAAGCTGCAAGTAAAAACAATTAGATCATTTAGATTTGTGAAAGATAACAATAAAGAAGCGTATAGAATTTCTTGTCATAGCTAATAGAAAGTTAAGGGCAAAATTTGGTTACTAATCTTGTAACATTCCATAAAGAAATTAAATAGAAAGAGTATCAAAGCTTAAAAAAACAAATTAGCCTGAAAAGATGTCAAAAAATGTAAAATCCCATTCTTTGGGATATTTTTTCCCAACTCCTAAGACGTTTTTTCCCGAGTAGATGGCGTTTTGGAAATTATATTTTTATTACTGTTTATCTATTTTTTTGTGTAAAGCTCCAACTATTTTCACATTAGTTCTGTTTGTTTAGAGTTGGGAGAAGATGTCTGATTAGGTTCAAGTTTCAGGCATCTCTAACAGAGCAGTGAACTTTTCATAAGAAATCCTCATCTATGAAGATTTTTGTCTGAGAAGATGATCAATTATTAGAAAAACAGAATATTGAAATGAAGAGAAAAATATTTGAAATTTGGGAAAATTATACACTCGGACGGCTAATGGCTGATGAAATATTAGCTTCATTACCTTGGCTGGGCATTTCGTCCCTTTTTCCTGGACATTACATTCCTTTAGCAGGGACATTTTTTTATGATTTGGTTAGTTTAACCATGTATCAAAAATTTTAAAGGCTATAAGTTGGATTTTTTTTATATTTGGTATTTTTGGCAATATAGCTGCACTTTCTCACATTGCATTAAAAGATAAACAAACATCTAGATTTTATCGTTTTAATGTAGCGTTTAGTGATTTTCTATCTTCAGAGTATATTTTAGGAATATGCAGTGTTTGAAAAATGATAGTTTCATATTTTCTAACAACTTTGTTTTTTCTCTTCTACAAACTATGTTTAGTCAGAATGTAAACTTGGGAATTATTTTGACTAATTTCTTTAATTTATTAACTGTTTACTTTATGGCAAGTAAGCTGACACAAAATAAATTTAAAAAAATGGCTGAGGTAAAATGGTTATAACCCTGATTCTAAATCATCTGTCAATAGATAACCATTGTATAACCATTCGTTTTAGAGTTATATGATTAGTGTATGGGTTTAAGGATCAAGCAAAATAAAAGCAAGGTAAAAATGAAATATGTGACCCTCTGGTCTTTTCTAAGGTCAAACAGCCGCTAATAGTCTAAATAGTAATGGCATTAGCAAGAGTATCAAATATTTATTTAACAGAAGGATTTCCTCTAAAATTATTTACAGACTGTACTCTCTTGTATAGTAGGAATTTCTCATTCGTCACAACTGTATTTGTCCTTTCCAATCATTTACTAATTCACCAAAGTACTCAAACAAATAGAATCTTTCAAGTTAGTCCACAATTATTCTTAATAAGTGTAATTTTGGCAGAAATCAATATTCAGTAAGCAGTGCACTAGAAGATACTTCTCTCTCTTTCTCCCTATCTTTTGCTCTCTTTCTCTCTCCATTCCCATTTTCAAACTGACAAACTTAATCATTCTTTCTTGAGTACTTTCTCATACTCTTCATAGGAACCTTAGCTCAAATATTACTTTTCATTGCACCAGAAATTTATTATTAAAAAAAAAGTCTGATAATAATTTAATGAATAACTAAACATAATTATAGAAAATATAGACATAAATGATTTATTAGTATGCTTAACGCCATTTCTTTCTACAGTAGCTATCTCAGCAATTTCAGATGTTTTTCTTTGTTTTGCAGAAGTAGTAAAATTACTTGAAACTTTAAATTGTGACATCTAAAAACACGACATACAAAGGATGTAAAAAGGGACATAATGAATGAAAAATTTACAATATTCAAATATATTATTACAATTAAATGAACATTTCTACTATTTGTGCTCAAAAAAATGATAAAAAAGACAGTTACTGATTGCAGCATGATTTAAATATATTTTATAACAACCAGTTACAATTTATAGACAATTTAGTTCTTTGAAAACACTATTTTGGAGTAATGGAGACACTGCTCAATGTCACAGTGCTGGTAGAAGGTCTTTGTTTAGCCAAAAATTTTCCTAATCATTCTAGGCAGAAAAAATTATTCTTTTTTATTTATTTCAGGAATATGAATTTTTACAAAAAGGAGATGTTGATTAAATCATAAAATTGAGTATGACAATCTCATATGGCCAATTTGCTCAAAGCATTTGGATTTAAGAACATTGTCATATTAACATTTTTACATTGCTGAAAATTTTTATCATCCTTTAAGAAATGTCATATGTGATTTCTTCAAGTATTTTAAATAGAAAAACAAACATAATTTATTTGAATGTGTAGAGGAATAATTGAATTTTGTTTTGTTGATTGTGAATTTTATAAGAAAATGATTAAAAAAGCAAAAAACAAAAAAAAATTAGACTTACTTATCATTTCAAAAATTGAATTGTCATTGTTTCTCTTGCAGCCCCTTCAAAAAAATTATGGCGTCACTTCAACAGCTGACATGCTATGTACAAATTTTTAAAAATATTCTCCAAATTTCAAATGCAATGTAATTTGCATTCTAATGCAAAAAACTACTAGCAATACACCTCAGAATTTATTCAGATAAACAGATAGTAGTCAAAAACACAGGAAATTTTTAAACAAATGGTGAAAAAAAAAGAATGTTTCTAAATTAAATATTTAGCAACAAGGAAAAAGAAACACTTGGCTCCCATCCAGGATCTTCATTTTCATGGTCAACAGCAACAGTTGTTGAATAATACACTGCATACAAAGCTTACTTACAACTCCTAAATTTGCATATTCGCACTAATCTTGATTACTTAGAATTGATTATTCAATCCTTCTCAAAAAGACAATATATTTCTTGTCATTGTCATGAGTACGCTCATTGCTGCCATAGCTTATTATAACCTTTTTAGTTTGTAGTGAAAAGTCAAACATTGACATTAATTTCGATTTATGATAGATAACTGCTCCCATCAAACAAAAGTGACAATTGCCTATTTTTAATTGAAAACGATAGTCTTTAAGAAAGTTGAAATAATCAATGTTTGATACTTCAAGAACTAAATAATTATAATTTAAGCAGAACATGTAACTATTGCAATCAAACTGAATACAGTATGTATGATTTTCTGTTGTGCAATACAAATAAATTGGATATATACGTTTGTTAAAATCGTAAAAATATTCACCAAGAACCAGTCTAAAAATATTATTTTCATCGCTATTGTTATCTATAGCATATCCTTTTTCGTAATATTTGAACCATGCAGTACTGTGTCTTGGTTTATAAGCAAATAGTAAAGATGGTTTTACAATAAGAAATGGGTTTTTTAAATTTATACTTTTATCTATCATTATCTTAATAGAACTCGGATCCGGCTCTGTTAGAGATATTTGCGATTCGATTTCAAATCCAATAGGAAAGTGATCACTAAATGTAATATTGTAAAATGGTTTTCCACTATGTTGAACAAAAATTTTTTTTATATCATTCCCTTTGATATATAATCTAAAAATTGGAAAAAAGAGAAGCAATATAATTTTGTAATTGAAACATTAAATTCAAACTAGAAATGTTCTTTCAAACCTATCATAGTATGTTCTTGAGTTTGGTTTTGTGTACAACATGTCTGAAGACATGACACAAGGCTCCCATCTCCATTCTTTTATTTTACCAAGAAAATAATGTATTTTTTCTTTCTTCATAAATGCCGTTCCAAGATTAAGATCTCCGCCAATTATAAAATTTTTTTGTGTTTCCTATGCAAAATGATAATTAATTGTTTGTAAAATTACAACTAGTGTAACTATACTTATGTACATTTTCTAAGATTGAAACTACATCATTTAGCTTGTTTAGCTCTGAAAAAGTTTTACCACTTTCTGTAGTTATGTGCAAAGGAATGAATATAAACTCTTCAAGAAGACAAAACTTGGTTTGAAATAAAACAATGAATGGTGTGAATTTGAAATGTCCTTGTAAATTTTCAATTTTTCCTTCATCATAATTCGGTTTCATGGCAATAAAATATCTCGTATTGTAAAAGTAAACACATTTTTCCTTCTCACCATCATAACTGCTCTCCAATTTGTAATATAAACAATGCTGAGAATTGTTCTCTAACTTCCAAAGATGCCGTTCTAGTCCTTTAATATTAATATTGCTTTGAGAAACTTCTAGTAGCACTATTAAATCAAAATATTGGATAGCCTGTCAAATATAGAAATATCTAAATGGTTTTTCATTGGAAATAGCTTCATCTTACCTTGCTAAGAGCAACTATATCATCGTGTTTCCTTATATTAAATGTTCCAATACGAATATTTTCAATTCGATTTAGGCCCATATCCATTGTGTCGTCATTAAGCTCAAAATCTATTTCAAAAACATCATGAGGGTTGAAATCGTTTAATGTAACACTTATCTCCCCATGAAAAATTACACTTCCTTTCAAAGATATTTTTACTTTATCTTTGATATTCAAGAATTTGATTATTAGTTCTGGAGGATCAGCTGTTGCTACTGAATACAATTTTAATGGTCTCTGCTTCAAAGGTTCTCCTAAATTAGCAGCAGTATCAGGATATGGAAAAAAAATACCATTAGGCTTTTCATTACACCGATCATATGATACATAATGAAGTAGTTTTTTCACAGGAATTTCAACATGTTGCCGATTATTCCTTTTTTCCGAAAGAGATAAATTTTCTAAATCCTTGTTTAGATCTTGATCTTCGTAATTCTACAGAGATAATTTTTATAAAACCTGATTAAATGTTGTTATTTGATTTAAACATTCTTACAGTTTTTGCTGCCATGTTTATTTCCAGAAGAATTATTCAGAGTATTGATTTCCAGTTGCTAAGAGATTTGACCTTATTATGATCCTATTATTTAGTATATTATTGATTTCTTTTGATTTTGCATTTAAATGCAGTGAAGGTGAAACTTTTAAATAATTTCTGTTTTACACTCTAAATGGTATTTTATTGTTTCTCAAAATAGGGAAATATTGCACTCAATACAAAGACATAAACAGTAAAGAAGTTATTATAAAACTGAGCAAATGCAGTTTCAACACAAGTTAAATAGGTGAAAGTAGTCCTATGCAAATTGACCATACTACTATAGCATAATTCACAGCCTTCTCCAAATGAATCTGACATTGATTTTTTTTTCGAATTTGAAAACTTTCAAGAAAACAGAATATGAGATTGTACTTTCCTGCTGTTGTTTCGTAGGTAAGTACTGGCTCAAATAGAACCTAATTACGAGTAAGCCACTTAGAAGAGAGATGTTAAATTGAGGGAAGATTAAAAAAGACTGAAGCTCAGATTTTGGAAAATTGATTTAAAATATATTTTTCACATTAGATATGTGTCACTTTACAAGTTCAAATAGTTGCTTCAATTAAGCCTCTGACCGTAGAAACCCATGTATTCAACAGGATCATACTTTCGATTTTAAAATTCATGGATACATCTTGGAATTTAGCATGTTCCAGCAAAACTTTTTCCAGTAACTTCCTTGAAAGGGATTAATGTTTAATTGTTGTGATCATCATTGTGTACTGCTCTTGCTGGCAAAATCTATGCGTTTGCAAGTTATAACAATACTGGTTCTACTCGAACCTTTAAACAAATGTTTAAATTAAAACAGTTTATTCGCAATAATAATACTTAAGCAAGTAACAATATGAGAGTTTGATAGCAGAGTAGATAGTTTGCAAAAGCAGGTTGCCAAATTACCAAACTGTCTTCTAATGTTGAGGAGTAGATGGATGGTTCCAGTGGAGGTTGTTTCCAGATGATTTTCCTAGGTCCTTGGGTCCAGATGGAAGCTGCATGCCGAATGAGAATAGTGAGGATTTATATACTTTGAGGTTTGCCTCTGACATCCAATCATCACTTTACAGTTGCCGAAATGTGTAGTTCATATTTATGTTTAGTAAGAGGATGTTACAAGGTTGAACATTTAGGAAGGTTAATTGAATTATAACTTGGCCAAACCTTTATTGGTAATTAAAGATGAGCCTTCAAGCTGACTAATCAGACTTATGTTTGGCCAATGTTATAGCATTTTCTTGCCTAGGTTTTAAGATGTACATGTATATGTTGCATAAAATAATAGAGTTCAAGCATGTAAAATATAACCAAAGTTGTACAACTTCCCCCTTCTTTGTGAAGATGAGTCCCTTCATCTTGATTTAATGAGAATTACAGGTGGTTGTTCTTCTTCATTAGTTTGATGTTGACTAAAGCTACAACTTTGTTTCATTAGTTTTGGGTTTTCAGGAGAGTTATCTGTGCTCTCACTTGGGGTAGTGGTTTCTTCTCTTTGTTTTCTTCTTCCAATAATATAGTTGAAAATGATGATACATACCATTGACACTACAATACTCAAACAAATATTTTGTATGATAACATAAAGTGTTTTCCCAGGTTTATAGTACCAACTATGGAAAAACTGTTTAATTCCAGATAAATTGGGTACAATGCCATTTTTCTCTGCAACAGTGACCATGTTATCATACCTTGCCTGCTTCTGTTCCAGTGAACTGATAACTTGCTTAATTTTTGAGTGCTGGTATGCAATATCCTTCTTTACCCCATGGTGGAGTAGATCAGCTAATCTGGCAATTTCAATTTTTGGTTCAGAAAGGTGATTGTGGATATGTAACTGCATGGATTTTGCAGACACAGTGTGAAATTTGCATCCTCTTTCTGAATAATACACATACGTTTTGTCTTTCATTGGTTGGTTTCTTATAGGATTTAATGGGTTGTGAGTTGTTTTGTAGAATAACTTGTTAGACTTACACTCATTATAGGTAATCTCTTCAGGATTGACTTGCTGTAAAACATGAGTAGCTGGTTCTACTTGGAAAAGCAGGTTGTTCATGGTGACAAGTAAAAATTGAGAACATTTGTTATTCTTTTTTATTATGCTTAAGTCACAAACTACTTCTGTTGAGGCTATTGGTGAACATTGTTTAATTATAGCTAATTCTCCCATCTGACTACTGTGCATTCCCAACTCATTTGTTAACACTGTGGTCAATTGAGGATCCAAATTTGCTAGTAATGCCATCATCCTGCTTCTTTGAACAAATTGATTGCAGAGAAGACTTGACAGCTGTTGGGTAAACTTTTTTAAATTCTTAAAATTTGAATCAATGCCATGTAGTAAGGTAGATGTTTGGGCAGCTTCTCTCATTTCCAATGGGAATTTGTGGTATGGGTTTTTACTTATATTATGTTTCAGTTTTGCTTCCTTCTTCATCTGCTTTTTAGCCATTCGCATGTGTAGAGTAAAATAAATTCCTTCATGGGTAATCTTAAATTCTCTGGCTGGTGGTCCTTTATACCATATGCCCAATGTTGGTAATACCTTCTTTTTGATTCTTTTCTCACTGTATACATATTTTGAAATTGTAACAGATTGTCTTGTTGCCCTTGTCCAATTGACTGCTTGCAGCATTTCTTGGATGTAATAGTTATCCAGCTCCCAGTAAGATGGACTAATGGGTTGTTGTAGATGATATATCACAACTTCCTTGAGTGTGCCTTTATTTCTCATTAGTTTATACTTTGTGTTTGTTTCTCTATACCATTGGTTAAGACTTGGTAAGGGGTTGTTTCGCTTGTATAGTATAATTTGTTCTTTCACTTTATTGGGATAGTTTAATAGTCATTTTTCTTCATTTTTTCCAATCTTCTGATATTGTAGCAAATTGTATAGGTGTTCCTTGCTTGTTTCCTGTATTAAACTCTGTTTCTCCAGTGGTACTAGTACTTTTGTTCCAGGACCACCAATTCCATCAATGAACTTATCTTGATAAGGGATGTCCAGAATAGAATACCCTGGACAAGAATAGTGACCAGCAAATTTGATACAACTAATTCTGTTGCTAATTTTTGTCCATGGTGATTGTTGCCCAAGTGTGTAATTATTCTTGAGGTTTCTAGAGACAATAATTGCCTCTTCTGTCTCACAATAGGACTGCCCTGGTAAACAATCTTCCAGGTAGTCCAGATTAGTTGTAATTTTCATATTAGGAGGTTGCCAATATGCTTTGCCAAACTGGATAATTGTGGTGTATTCCAGCACCTTGGTAGTTGTTGGCCATGTGTAGGCAGCAGGAAACTGATCTTGGTGGATCCAAGTGTTTCTTTTCACCATTAAAGGTTTTCCTTGAAAAGATTGTTTGTCTTTTACCATCTGTCTGCATTGATCATGAGTTACTTTAATAACTGAGTTAACAATTCTCCTCTTCTTTGCTCCAAAGAAATAGTAAGTGTAAAAGTTAGTTCTTAGATACACTTGACATTTTACTGCTCTTGTTTCAATTTCTTCCAAGTTCAATTCATAGATATCAGCTGTAATTGTCTTGATTTCTTCTGATTCTATATTACAAGTTGGCTCATCTGCTAGATCAAATGCTTGGCTTGGTAGTTGGTTAGAACAAAAGTATAACAGTGGTTTAAATGTTAAGGTAATGTTTGCACTTGTAACATGTGCACCTTGGTAGGATGGTTTCAGAACTGTTATTGAGTGGATGCAGCCACAGATCACCATTACAGTCATCACTAGTGGAAGCCACAACATCTGTTTCATGTTAGCTCTTCCTGTGTTGGCTATAGTTGAATGGTTGAAAATTTTGTGTTGTTGTTCCACTCTGATAGTTATTCCATCTTCTAACTCTATATATTGTGGTTCCACTTCTTGTTGGGAATCTAATTGTTCAGAGATGATTTTAGTCTCATCTAAAAATATGACTGACTCATTGTCTGTGTCACTTGTATTTTCTTTCTCATCTTGGGATGAATCTACCACTATGATGGACTCATCATCTGAATGGGTTATGTCAATAATTTCACCTTCAATAGTTGTTGACTCATTATCAGAATGGGTTATATCAATAATTTCACTTTCAATAATTATTGACTCATTGTCTGAACTAGATATTTCATCTTCTCTATCAGAGATAATGTTTGCCTCTGAATCTGTATTTTGATCCAGTTCATTATTTGTTTCTGTGTCATCACTTTCAGATGAGCTTGAAGGTTCATTGAGACTGTAATTACTGTCTGTTTCGAAAGTATTGCTTGTGTCATAACCAGTATCAGAATTAGTAACTTCCATCTCTGAGTCATCACTATCTGAGCTTTCTGATGAAGAGTCATGCTGTCCCATCATGGCTATAGTGACTTTGTTTAGTTGAGGTTGCCTTATTCTTTCAGCCAGGTTCCCTTTCCTTCTATCAAATTTGAGAGAACACTGTTTAGCTTCAAAATTGAGGTTTGCTCCCACAGTTTGAAGGAAATCACAACCAAGTATTATTGCTATGTCTAGATTTTCCATAATGATAAATTCTTGTTCCATACTTTCTCCAGCAAATTGGATATTCAGCTTTACGCTTCCTTTTTGCTTTAAAGCTTTCCCATCAGCTGAAGTTATAATTGGTAAGCCAATTGTTTCTTTATCCATAATTGTAACATCCATTAACTTGATTTCTTTTTCAGTAATAAAGGATCTCAATGCTCCTGTATCACACAAGGCAATGACTTCTCTGCCTTTGTGATTCTTCAAATGGAATTGGAAGTCATTTCTTCCTTCTACCTGAGAAAGATATTGGAGGTGTGTTATTTCCTTCTCCACAAGGTGAAAGATTGTTGTTGTTTCTTTCCCTGTTTCCAACTTATTAGATTCATTGGCTAGTCTTAATCTGCTACCATGTACAAACTTGCATGTATTATCATCCATTTGTATTTCATATATCCACTTTTGATGATTGAATTTTGTTATTCGGTATGGGCCTAACCATTTTAAAGAAGGGATTTTTGTTA